AATTAGTAAGTGCATTCTTTTTATAAAGCCTTTCATATTTGCCAATGATGAATCGCAAACTTTTAATGGGCCTTTAGCTATTTCAAAGAAAGAGTCAAAATCAGTTAATTATCATTTTCACAAGTCAATTGTACAAAAAAGGTTTAATGTTTCCTGGTACTGACAGTCAGGAGAGGAAGTTCCTCTCTGAGTTCCTAAGTTTTAGACAAATGCATATGTTCTGAATTGCGTTGGCCCCAGATAATATAAAGCAAGATTTATTATGGTACCTTTGAATGCAGACCTGTGGGATAACACTTAGGAGAAGTCTGATAAGAAGTATAATATTCTGCTTGTCTAAGTAAATTGAGAGGTGTTTTAGAATATTTAAATCAATGAAGTACATCCCATTCACCAGTTCTTCATAAATGCTGTTTTGCTCATCTGAGCTTTTGAAATCTATTAACAAGAAACTGATTTTCAGTAAAATTCTTTGTCAGGTGAAATAGTTATTCTGTGTTGCTGGTTAATAGTTGAGACATAGCTTGAAAGCCAAGATTATGACTGTCACTCTATAGGAAAAGGATTTCTATAAATCTACCCCTTTGCAGTTGAATGAAGGAGTACTCATAGGCTATGATGTGCTTGCCTCAAGAGTTTGTTTTGCAGTCCTTTCTAATGAAAAGGAATTGTGGTTATCACTTTAAAGGTCTACCTTCTACGTCTTAGCCTCAATATTTTTGGTCTGGAGAAAGTTTAAAGCTGATATAAAATATAGTTCTTACCTTGAATATTAAAGAAAAATGCTTTGTAAAATACATTTGAATACTTAAATTTAAGAAAAAATGCAATGACATTTCCTCTAAGACAAGCTGGTTTTAAAATATGCATCTCAGTTACTGAATAAGTTAACCAGATAGAGTTCTTTTATGACAATTAAGAAAAAAAAGGGTTGTTTTGTTAGTTGTCTTCTAAAAATAATGTATTTTGTTTTCAAAATGTTGATCTATAAGAAATGTAGATCAACAGAACTTTTGATCTATAAAACTTTTTTTAAGCAGTAATTGCACAACATATCCAGTTGTTCAATATGGTCACTCCATGTTTTTGAGGAGAAAGCCATAGTATCTCATATAATGCTCCCATTTTCGTTCTCTATGGTAATAGTTTATGTAGCCAGCTTACTAACAATGGTGTCAAATCATTAAAACACCATAATAGTAGAAGTATGGATTCAGAATAAATTATTTAAATTCTTCTACTAAAATTGTCATCTGGTCCATCAAAATATACTTTTACAAACTTTGATTATGAAAATAATAGTAAAATTCAAGTTCTATATAAGCATCCATATCTGTGGCATATACCGAGGCTTTGAAGTGGCGGAGGTGAATTCCAAAGAATGGTAGGCCCAAATAGGTCAGAAGTCACATAATATTCTATATGATTTCTAAGTGATATCTTCAGATGATGAGAATATATAGCATTTTCAGTACTCGGAACAAGACAGAAAATGTATGTTAGGGCTGCATTGTTCCCAGTGTGGCCTATTGGCCTTATAATGGATTAAATGGAAACTGACCCATTTCGGTGCATGTTTGATCCAGAGGGCTGCCACAGGATGAGGGCTGGTTTCCATTTATAAAAAATGAGAATGTCTCTTTCCAGGTCTGTTAAAATGGGATCAAAATCACAAAAGTAAAGAAAGCAAATATATCAGAATCATTAATATAACTATTAACTATGTGCATGTGAAGGTGTCTCCTGACATCTGATATTTTATGAAAAGATTTGTATGTAAAAAGTCCAGATGCCCCTTTGCTTTTTTTCTTGACTAACCTGACTCAGAACTTGTTAACTTACTGACTGGGGGGAGAGGGTGTCCAACAGTCTGCCTTTTTTTTCCCCTACTATAGCTCTTGATAAGATAAACAACCAAAAATCCCAAATAGAAGCAAGTTGCTATCTACAAACCAAATCTGATAAATTTACATAATATAAAATTTGTATATTGTTTTTGAGACTTCACCAAGAAATATCTATAAAATAAATTATATTGAGACTAGAGGCCTCTTGCACGAAAAGATTCATGCAATAGGCCTTCCCTTCCCCTGGCTGCCGGCACCAGTTTTCCTCCAGCACCCTGGACCCAGGCCTTCGCTCCGGCCGGAGTCTCCTTCAGTCTTCACTCTACCACTACGCGCCTATGTATGCAAATTAACCGCCATCTTTGTTAGCGGTTAATTTGCATATCTCGCTGATTAGCCAATGGGAGGCGTAGCGAAGGTACAGCCAATTACCATGTTTGTCTATTATTAGATAGGATGTACACTTAAGGGATATTCCTAGGAAGGTTTTTAAAAAGTTTTTTTAATAGAAATTTTCTAATATCTGCAATGTAAGTACAAAAACATAATAGATAAATCCCAACTGCCACCCATCAAAACAACCGTGTTCTGATTACTTAGGGACAAGTACTTAAATGTCCAGACCCTGGTTTGGAGAAAGAGAGGTGGCTGCAATGATTACGAAGCAAAGTAATCCTTCAAATTCCTCTATTTATTATTTGCCCTCAACTTTTGCTAGCCATTACACCAATGCATGATATATAACATGCTTATTTTGAAAAATATAAAAAAGAAGAAATACATATTTTAAAATAGTAAAGGTAAAATGTGAGCTTAAGAAAAGAGGTGTGAGAGAGAGGGAAGGAAGGGAGAAAGAAAAGAAGCAACAGATGAAGGGGGAGGGATTAAGGGAGAAAGAGGAAGCAAAAAAGAAAAGAAGATAAGGAAAGAAAGAAAGAAGAAATGAAAGAAGAAAGGTACATGTGCAGAGTAAGTCTCAATATTCCAATATTCGGTCTTTATCGTTGGTTATCGCTCGTTGGATATCACTGCTGTCCATGTATCTGGTGTCTGCTCTACCCTTGCTCCAAAAACTATGGTCCATGAGCCAGCAGCAGATTGTCAGGCTCCACATCACAACATATTTGGTCCAAATCTGCATATTCAAAAGATATACAGTGCTTAATAAGCACATCCCAACTTTAGAAATATTGCTCTAGATCACAATGTCCAGTAGTGGCATGACACCAGAGAAAAAAATCCTGTCTAATAATAGACAAACACGGTAATAGACTGTACCTTCATTACACCTCCCATTGGCTAATAAGTGAGATATGCAAATTAACTGCCAACAAAGATGATGGTTAATTTGCATACATAGGTGCAAAGTGGTGGAGCGAAGACTGAAGGTGGCTCTGGCTGGAGCGAAGGCCTGAGTCCCGGGTGCCGGAGGAAAACCGGTGCCAGCAGCCAGGGGGAGGGAAGGCCTATTGCACAAATCTTTCATGCAACAGGCCTCTAGTACAATTATAAAACAGACAGAACATGAAACAAAAATACACAGGGAATCAACAAATTAACTATGAACAAAGAAAATTTCTGTTTATCTATAACTGTGTGATACATCAGTTATCTTATAAAGCTAGAAAGTGAAAAATAAAATAAATTTTAAGTACTATATTGTGTCTGTTTGCTTCAGAAGGAAGTGGTCAGCATAAAATATAGGAAAGATAGTATGCTTTGCTCTTTGCAATGCATTTTCCCTATTCATTTTATGCCTACTAGTAACCTAATAAGCTGTCATGTAAGCTAATATTAAAAGCAACAAATTATACTTTTGTTTATTTTATTTAATGATACTCATTAAAATTTTATGTTACATACAATTGCTATCAGATTTTATGTGGCCAATTAATGTTACATTAAATTATGCTTTTTTACAGGGAACCGAAATAGCTAAATGAAGCAGATGTGTTCTTCTTAAAAATGCAGCTGTTATTATATTAAACAATTAGCACCAATATTTTGGAATAATACGTTAGATGTCTATAACAATTATAAAATTGGTTTCCACCCTAGCTGGTGTGGCTCAGTTGGTTGGAGCATAGTCCTGCACACCAAAAGTACTGATGGGGTGGTCATAATAATCTGGCCACTGAGGAGTATATATATATATGTGTATATATATATATA